CCATGCCTGGTAATAAGCCCATGCCTGGTAATAAGGCCATGCCTGGTAATAAGCCCATGCCTGGTAATAAGGCCATGCCTGGTAATAAGATCATGCCTGGTAATAAGCCCATGCCTGGTAATAAGGCCATGCCTGGTAATAAGGCCATGCCTGGTAATAAGCCCATGCCTGGTAATAAGGCCATGCCTGGTAATAAGGCCATGCCTGGTAATAAGCCCTTGCCTGGAAATAAGCCCATGTCTGGTAATAAGCCCATGTCTGGTAATAAGCCCTTGCCTGGTAATAAGGCCATGCCTGGTAAAAAGGCCATGCCTGGAAATAAGGCCATGCCTGGTAATAAGACCATGCCTGGTAATAAGCCCATGCCTGTTAATAAGGCCATGCCTGGTAATAAGACCATGCCTGGTAATAAGCCCATGGCGTGTAATAAGGCCATGCCTGGTAAAAAGGCCATGCCTGGAAATAAGGCCATGCCTGGTAATAAGCCCTTGCCTGGTAATAAGGCCATGCCTGGCAATAAGGCCATGCCTGGTAATAAGGCCATGTCTGGTAATAAGTCCATGCCTGGTAATAAGGCCATGTCTTGTAACAAGTCCATGTCTGGTAATAAGTCCATGTCTGGTAATAAGGCCATGCCTGGTAATAAGGCCATGCCTGGTAATAAGGCCATGTCTTGTAACAAATCCATGTCTGGTAATAAGCCCATGTCTGGTAATAAGCCCATGCCTGGTAATAAGTCCATGTCTGGTAATAAGCCCATGCCTGGTAATAAGCCCATGTTTGGTAATAAGGCCATGCCTGGTAAAAAGGCCATGCCTGGTAATAAGCCCATGTCTGGTAATAAGCCCATGACTTGTAATAAGGCCATGCCCGGTAATAAGACCATGCCTGGTAATAAGCCCACCAATATATAATGTAAGTCAGGAGAAATACCAACAAATGAAATTTCATTGTCCTGTAATAAGCCCACCCCTGATTTGAGAAATTATGTGTAGGCCTCCCTGGTTGTATTGCTGGATAAATACAGTACATTCCTAGGTACATGTGGTAAATCTACAGGTTACAAGGGAGATACATGTAAGTCATACAACTTTTGTTTTAACATTAAATGTACAGGTATACCTTAATTTAGCTCTTTCTTTGATTTCCAGGTCTGTTTGATATCCACACCAAAGGACAAACACCTTACAGTTGTGGCAGTATCAACGACAATCATGGCTTCCAGCTCCTGGAGGCCTTCCACTTCGCCCTGGAATACGCTAACAACCGTACTGGTATTTTCCGTAATGTGTGGCCAGAGGTCACATTTGGCGGTGTAGCCCTAGATGTTTGTCAAAATCCAACGCGTGCTGGAAATATGATAGCGAACATCCACTCCGGAACATTGAAACTGACGACTATGTCTCAGAGCCAGAACATTACCATCAACCCTGACAATATTGATGTCTATATCGGCGCATTTGACACCGACTCATCAATCCGGGTGGCAGACATTGTGAATCCGCTGGGAATTCCTCAGATCAGCTATGGTTCCACGAGCCAGGAGCTGATGGATCAGTACAAATACCGCTACTTCTTGCGTACTGTTCCCGCAGATGACAAGCAGGCTAGGGCCATTATTTCCTACCTGAAGAGGTTCGACCTAAACAACGTCCAGGTCATTACATCCTATGACAGCATTGGTGTGCACAGCAAGGAGGAGTTTGCTCGTCTGGCCAGACTCAACAGGATCTGCATATCCCAGAACATCACCACTGGTGTCAGCGGCTCGATCTCCGTCATTGAAGCACACACCACTCTCAACAAGCTTTTCTCCTTCCGAGACGCTACAGTCGTGATCTTGTTTGTCCAGGACCCGGAGACGCTGTTACAGTCGATTGAGAATAGAGATGACGTAAGGAATAACTTCACCTTTATCGGTACAGACAAGCTTGGTTTCAACCATGAGAAGTGGAACAATGCGCGTAAGCTGATGAATGGTCGCCGTGCTGTAACGTTTGACATAGAGACGGCAGATGTGCCAGAATTCGACAAATACCTGGAAAACAAAAATCCTGAAAATTATTTCTTTAACCCATGGTTTGATGACTATTACCAGGAACTGTTTCAGTGTAACTTTGATGGTAGGAGCACCAAGTACCCAGAACCATGCCCGACCCATCTTTTAGGAATTCCCCGTGCTGAAGGCTACATCCAGGACCCCTACGTTTTGTACGTCATCAATGCAGTGTTTTCTGCTGTATTTGGCGTGGACAAGGCACTGCGCGAGATCTGTCCCAGCAACAGCATTGGAGTATGTAACCTCTTCCGAACCAGCGGTGAGCGAAGACAACGAATCATGACTGGAATCCAAGCCACTAACTTTGTTGATGCCACGCAGCAGCCGTTCTTCTACGAAGAGGGAGGAGACAGTAGTCGTGGTTACAAAATTTGGGAGCCCCTGCCTAGTGCGGAGGACAACACACAGTATTATCTTGAAGATGTAAGTAATTAAACAGTTGATTCAACGTTCCCCCTACCTCTGGTTCCTTTCCCCATCATTCAACCTCCACTCCAACCCCACGCTCTCACTCCTTCATTTACCGATAACTCCTTCCCACATTCAACCTATAGCCTCGTCTCAAACTCCCTTATCCAACCATTCAATCCCTCCCCTATACAACGCCTACCCCATTGCATTCAACTCAAAACTGAATTCCCTTTCCACTCCCCTCTACCCATCAATACCCATTCCCCATTCATAATAATAATTCCCCTATTCAATACTGATTCCAGAAACAACAACCCATACATTCCGTTTTAAACGATTCCAAATCATCAAGCTTTGGTCCTGTTTTGACTGCGATGGTAATTCCTGTCATTAAAGTCCTTATTTAACATGTACATTGTGTCTATATTGATATCCTCTGTGAGATGAGGACATCCTCTGTGAGGTGAGGACATCCTCTGTGAGGTGAGGACGTCCTCTGTGAGGTGATGACATCCTCTGTGATGTGAAGACATCCTCTGTGAGGTGAGGACATCCTCTGTGAGGTGAGGACGTCCTCTGTGAGGTGAGGACGTCCTCTGTGAGGTGAGGACGTCCTCTGTGAGGTGATGACGTCCTCTGTGATGTGAAGACATCCTCTGTGAGGTGAGGACATCCTCTGTGTGGTGATGACATCCTCGATGTTTAGTCAATGACACTCTCAAAGTAAATTTTGAATACTTTAGAAGGCATCCATGGTGGATGTTCTAATCTATAAACTGCTATGATATTGATTCTAATTGACACTTACAACTTTATAACGATTTTGATTGAACGTGATTGACCCTCACAATGCTGATTTATCCTTATGATTGATTTTTCAGGTTGGTTCCTATAACGACACACACTACCTGAAGATTGACGCACGTTACGATGTCGACTGGCATTCAACATGTGACCGACCTGGATCATGTACCTGTGAGTTCCCCGAGTACCAGCCGTCGCGCTACATGAAGAATGACACAGATTGGGGTCTGTACATTGCCTACGTGTCTGACGTCCACGACCGTGACCCCAACGACCCCTATGCCTGTGGACCGATCAACACAGTGGGAAACTTCCAGAATATGATGGCCTTCTTCTATGCTCTTAACCTTGTCAATAGTGATAACAACCTCCCAGCGACCCTGAAGCTTGGAGGGATTGCCTTCGATACCTGTTCTTCATCTAATCGTATTGGGCAGGATATCTATAGTCTGCTGAGTGGTGAAGGAATTTGTACAGAAAACACGGGTCAAGTTATCCCTCCTTCCAACTTGGTGGCGTACCTGGCTAAAGGTAGTGAAAATGCCATCAGTGTCAGTGGAATACTCTCACCACTCAAGTTCACTACATTGAGTCAGAGTGCTACATCTGTGGCGCTTAGCAACAAGGATTTCCACCAATACTTCCTGCGCACTGTGCCTCCCGATAACGTCCAGGCCGTTGTCATTGCCGAGGTCCTTCAAACGTTTGGGTGGGATTACATCTCCGTAGTGTACACAGATGATGCCTACGGTAACGCTGCTATCAAAACTTTACTCCTCAACACAGAGACCAGTACTCCTCGCATCTGTGCCGCCCAGAGCATATCTATGTCGCTGGATACAACACTGAATGAAGCCAAAGCGATTATCGACAGCCTGAACCAGCGTGTCGGCGCCAGAGTTGTTGTGCTGTTCGTGTCTGATATTCACGCCCGACTCTTGTTGCAGGCCGCAACAGAGCGTGGCCTTACACACAGGTTCATCTGGCTTGGTAGTGACACCTGGGCAAACAGCGAATATATCGTCAATGGATACGAGGATGCCGCCGCCGGAGCTATCACTATTCAGATCAGATCTGAGGTGGTGGAGGGCTTCAAGAACTTCCTTCGCAGTTTTGACTACTCTAATAACATGAACATGCCGCGGGACTGGTTCGAGGACCTCTACCAGACCATTCACCAGTGCCGCATCCTGAACAGTGTTGTTCAGAAGGTTTATTCCAGCATCTGTTCGGGCGATGAGCGGATCACCGATGCCATGATCCCTAACGACCCCTACACTCTCCACACAATCATCTCCGTGTTCATGGTGGCGAACGGACTGAACTCCATTGATGAGTGTAAGAGAACAAGTCTCAGTGTGTCTGCCTGTCTGTCACTTCAACAGAATTCACGCGAGCTGATCTACAACAGTATTGCTGAGGCCCAGTACACCGTACTCCCAGACGACCTTGGCTCAAAGTCCTTCAACTTTAGATATACAGAGAGTGGTTACGGAGATGTCGGCTACACCATTCTCAACTTCAGACGTGATCTGACATCAGGAAACTATGCATACAGTCAGGTAGGCATGCGTGAACAGATAATTCCCCCCCAGTCCCAGTATCATAACTCACCGTTAACTCACAGTTGTCGACGTCATACCATTAGTCTTCAACTACTATTGACGCTTCTACTAATTCTGATGGTACGGACTCCCGGTCTGCACCTCCCGCTCTGTAGCATGCGGGGCTGAATTTTCCTGGGTGATTAAGAGAACCTGTTTAGATAGTTACATTTCTCGTCTCTTGTGTTATATGAACCATTCTGTATTGGGACAGATCTAATGTACAGCAAACCTTCACGTTTTAGTCTGATTGAGATTTTGAGGTCAAACATGTCTAATAGAGTGGAAATGTGGGTATATCAACCAAGGACATCAAGCCCAATAAATCAATAAATCCATTTATCATTATCAATCAATCAATTTATCAATCAATCAATTTATATCAATTTATCAATCAATCAATTTATCAATCAATCAATTTATCAATCAGGTTATTGATGCAGACTTATCTATTTCGGCTCCTCTACGCATCTCCTTGCTATTAAATGTTAAAATTGATGTCTCCGTTGTAAAGGATAAGATATAAATAATTAAAGTATTGTCCACCAAGTTAGCTAATGTTCTTTTGTCATTTTCAGATTGGAACCTTTCGTAAAGGCCTCCTGTCCCTGAACCGAGGGCTGTACCAAGGGTTTAGTTTCGTGGAGTCCCTCACCAATCCACTGTCGATGTGTCCGGTGGGTAGTAACTGTCCATGCCTGAACAGTGATGGCACACGCTTCAGTTACAAACGAGAGGGTGTGGCTGGTCTCACCTTCTATCGGCTCAACGACGGCAGCTATGTCGATGCACAAACAGGGGAGGTCATCCAGGTAGAGGACGTCCCTCAGCTTGCAGACAGATTCTCTGATATTTGGGGCATCATTGTCGCGACACTGGCAGCAATTGGAATGTTTGCCTCATTGTGCATGTTTGTGTATCTGCTTGTGATGTACCCAGTACGCGGGGGAACCTCAATTCTGGGTTTCATGCTGTCCTTTGGTAACATTCTGCTGTTTGCTCTGGTGTTTGCCTTCATCGTGCATGCTACACGAGAAGTTTGTGGTCTGCGTCGGTTCTGCCTGGGATTCTGCTATTCAATATGCTACAGTGCTTTGTTTGTCAAGATTGTGGACTCCTGGCGGTCACGTGGCAAGGAAGAGCTGTACGAGGTCAAATACGAGAAGCTTGGGCGCCCTCTGGGACTGTTTTTCTGTGCTGTGCTGTTTATACTTGTACAAGTAATTATCAACACGGAGTGGCTTATTTTGGAGCCACCAGATGTTACAACAGTCCTGTACAACAACATGCTGTGGCCGAGGTGTACGCCCAATGATTTCTACGATCAAGGCCTCATCCTGTCCTTGGTCTACATCATGTTCCTGGTCGTCCTGTGTGTTCTCTATGGCATGTGTGCCTGGTCCAATCCAAAGAACCACCACGAAGCACGCTGGGTGCTGGGCATTGTGCTGCTCGGGATACCTGTGTGGGTGGTGTTCAGTGTGCTGGCCGTTCTCGGGGAATACAAGATGAGAGATGCAGCCATTGCTATCGGTCTCCTGCTCAACGCTACCATCATGCTGCTCCTAGGCCCGATGAGGAAACTCTACCTACTAACCAAATTTGAGGAGCTAGTTGAGGAGGAAGAACGCAAGTCTGCACTTGGCAGCATGAAAGGAGGTCAGTTATTGACATGAACGCTTTTTGTTCTGCTTAATTACATCATGTTTAGATGTTGATATACTGCGGTACTTAATGGACATCATTATTTTAAGAAATTCACAACATTTTAATGGATTCATACTTGAAGGACATCATTATTTTAAGAAATTCAGGACATTTTAATGGATTCATGTTTAGATACCAGATGAAGGCAGGGTAGTTATGTGACTTACTAATAATTTATGTTAATAATTCCAAAAATTTATTCATATATAAATATTTTTTGGGAAGTTTCAATGAGGAATGCATCCCTCTTTGTAACCGAATGAAAACCAGGCGAAATAATAATGCAACTGAAAGATCAATCTACCCATTATTCATATAATGTTTAAAGTCGATGTATTTCTGTCAAACAGATTACGCGTCCATGTATGGTCGACAGTATGATAACACACCACGCCTACACGAGCATCAGGACTCGGTCCGCGACAGTGTGTTGGGAATTGACCCCTACGTGGTACACCCTAACAGCCATCACTGAAGTTTCTATGGTAAGTAACTCGGGGTAACGCTATATATCTATGTATTACTCCCCGACAACTAAAAGTAGCATTAATGCGCTTCATTGAAAGCCAATTAAAGCTGCGTCTAACGGGCCGGGCTATTACACAAACATTATTCAGGCTGTTTTTTCACTTAACATGGAATCAAATGGGAAAATTGCAACAGTAAAGCTACAGAAAAAAATACAAATAGAACCACTTTCAAAGAAACACAAGATTTTTCTCAGTGTTATACATAGGGGTCATGATTTGGCAGATATCTTGCTGGGAGGAAAGGCTTTCAATTTTCTTAAAAAAACGACATTACAGGGAAACCATTACAGGGAAACCATTTTTCAAGTTCATGAATCAAACAAATGACTTCTACAATGTTTCTTGCTGAGGTAAATGGCTATAACTTTATTTAAATGAATTGCCTTGACCCATATTCAAGGTCGCAAGGGGCAGAGACGTTTAAAAATCTCAAATCATGGTGTTCTAATGACCAATGAAGTCATGATCAAGAGCAAAGAGCATATTGTTTGTAGCCTGTATGAGTGAAGTGCCCCCCCCCCCCCCATGTGAAATTGTGAAATACCTTGAGTTGACTATAAACATTCAAGTCCTTCAACTTATTCTTATGAACCATGAGTCCAGGATTAATTATGTTTAGTCATTCTGTTATTTCCTAAGATGTGTTCATAAGCCTCCTTATCCCAGCCACCACTAATCCATGCCAGTTGTCCCAAAGCCAGTGATTTCGTGGCCAAATTTCTCCTTTTATGTTAAAAATAATGTCTCTATCACCCAGCCACTCAGCTGGAAAAATTAGCCGAGTAAATGTGTCATTTGATGATTGTGTTTGTATTTCTTTTGTTGACAGAACACCACAATTGAACGTTGTGAAATCCTGATTTCTCATCGGATCAGACAAACCGCAGCTGATTGACTGGGCGGGATTTAATCACATGGAACTGTGGGCGGTGGGCGGTGAATCTCTTTACTGTGATAATTACAACGATTAACAAAAATTCGTTTATTACGACATTTCTTTATACACAAATCATCTGTATAATGAAAAAAAGCTGTTTTGTAACTGAAGTTTATGTTCTTTACTTCATCATACTTAAGGGTGTATGTTGCCTTTCTGTAACACTTTGTTAAAAAGGGTTAAAAACCAGCAGAATTTGTTATTTGGATCTTGTTTATTAATTCTCGACATATTTGAAAGGTTGACATCCCTGAAACCACTCTCTAGGGGAATTCCAGCTTAAAAGAATGTATTTCAAGGGAGGTAACTCAGAGTACAAATAATAAACAAATCATGTATAATGTGTATGGTAAGATATAACATTGTTGATTTAAAGAGAAATGTCATGGTTTAGTTATTAGTTTGTAAACTACAGTCATGCTGAAATACTTTCTTCCAATATATACGACAAGCAGTAATGATACTGTAGTTCTGTTGTTACAACGTCCCATGGTCATCGAATTATTCTGATTTTTTATTTTTTTTATGTGAATGTAAAAGTACAGTTGCCAATAGAGTGCGTACGAGTGTTGAACACATGTCTCTGGCACCAGTCGCGAAAACAGATAAAAATTCCATTATTGAATTATACCATCACATATAAACATAAAAAAATATAAAAGTGTAAAATTTTGTGTGCTAATATATATGTAGGTGTGAAAATTGTGTGTATATATTGTGGTGTGGAAGGTTATATAAATTTGTATATAAAGAACATTATGTAGATTTAATTTGTACACACGGTATGGAAGTTGTGAGTGCTGAATAAATATGTTTGGTTTAATTTTAACATGAATAATTGGATGAGAAAGACCCAGAGTTGAGTGCTTAATGTGCACAAGTTCATAGCCTTTATTGAGAATGCCCAGCATTGCCAGGCTGAGTGCAGTAAGAAACTAGATTTGTGTTGATCAGTGTGTAACTCTGCACTCTGGCTTTATTTTTTATTACCTGTATTACATTTTCCATTATGTATGTGGGTATATATATGTGCTGAAATTTTCTTCCCAATAGTGATACAAGGAGATTATGAATAATGTAAATGGTTTAAAAATAAAAAATAAAATATATATTAGAAAAATAAGGCCTCCCAAAAAAGGATGTCAGTTGCAGAACTGTGTTATCTACATAGATAAATTACAGAATTAAACTGTTAAAATATCGTCTTCAATCTCAATCAGTTTGCCATTCCTTATCAACATCAACTATCGTTTTTCTGGTTTAAACACCCTCACACTATCACCACAAAATACCTACTGACTTCATGAATACAACGTTGTTTTTCCTTTTTGAAGGAAATTTGGAAGGTTCTACAATCAGTTCAATTGTTCTGAAATTGCTTTGTGCTTTTAAAATTATTATGTCAAACATTGATTATTTCAAACCGGCAAAAGGCGCACCATGCAGCGTTTCTCCTTGAAGTCCCACGTTTGACTATGTAACAACTATCATAAAACTTCGTCAGTCAAAACAGATTTAAATAATGGTGAGGAAATTCATATCCTTTTTAAAAATTGTTGCCTTTAAAAAATGAATGTTTGAATTGTTTGATTAATACCGAGGACGATGTATAACAGAGAATCTTGTGCATGGCGTGTCTTTTTGTTGGTTTAAATCACAGCTGTTCGTTCCAAATTGAAGACTTATAACAAGTTCTATTTGAGAAAATTTAACTGCCACCGTTTGTACAGAATTCTGTGGAACTACTTCTAATCTGTCTCCCTAGTTACCCACGATCACTGCTTTATAGTACTCCAAGTATATACAATATTATTGATGTTAAATCATAGACATTTCAGTCCATAAAAGTCGGTTTAATGGACTCGGACCTATACTACCATATAATATACGTTATAAAAGTTGTGTACATCTGAGAGATTTAAATAAATATTTTGTATATTTTCAACTGAGAGTGTTTTGTCATTTATTCTGGAATATATACTTATCATAGTTATACATGTCACAGATATGAGGTTAGCATTCCATAGACGGTATAATTAAGTTAAAATTTATTTTTGCTACATTAATTCAAATTTAAAAAAAAAATATCACATTTTACAAAATAAAGAATATGCGGGCTGTATGTTATCACCCTTGCATCAATATGTTAGTTACAGTTTTGTTGCAAAAGTTGAAATTCAATAATGTTACTATTTGTACTATAATGTTGACATTTGGCATGAAGTCTCTTGGGGTTCCCCTTTGATCATCCAGTGCTGCCAAAATTAATTTTAAGTTTATTCATGTATTTTAGACCATTTTCTTTTCTCATAAATCTAAAAATTGATCCTTCGGTGCAAATATTGAAATCTGTGATTGAAAATTTCCTCGCATTTTAGTACGACTTTCCTTGTGTTGGTATGACATGTACTTTGAACAGAGATTGGGTGGGTGGGTACGGGTTTTCTACCACAGGACACACTGACCATCTGATATCATGTGAGCTTCTGACCAGTAATCACCTTAGGAAGGTGAAACCATCGTACTACAATGTACTTGAAAAAGTTTTTAAATGTTATTAATGACCTGTAAACTTATATTAGTTATATTTGTGTAAATCTGATATAGAGGTTTCTAAACGAGTGATGGTTGGTTATCATGTTTATCGAACTCAAGGTCAGTTAATCTTCAAATTGTATAAAGACACAAGGTTTACCGAGTGTCTTTTACAATTTGAAATTGAACTAACAAGAGTAGATAAACGTGATAACCAATCATCACGAGTTTGGGGACCTGTTTCTCCCATAACATTCGTATTTTATCTGAAAAAACACATTTTCCCATGGAAAATACATCATGTTTGTTTCCGATGGGGGAAACAATTACCATGGAGCATGACGTCACGATGGGAAATGACGTCGTAAAGAACTGTTACGTGACGTCCTAAATCAAAGATCGACCAATGGAATGACGTCCAGGGTGTTACCCACTAGCTAATGGGAAACCAAAAATGTTTACTAACTCCTAGCAGGTTTATCTAGTGAGGAAACCTACAATGGTTGTGGCAGAAATGAATTTAATAGTGAGGTAACTTTCCAAGGCCTGTATACAAAATAAAACTAATAGCTAGACACTCTCCCTTAACAAGTTGATGAAGATGTACGGTAACTGACATGTAAAAGAAAAATATGGAAAATGTACGAAAAATAAAAACAACAAGGAATTCCACAGTAATTTTATTCATATAATAATTGATGCTGACAAACATGTGATGATACCAGATATCTACAAAACTCCAGAAAGTAAGAGGAGGGCCTTACCAGCTATGTACGCCCACATGATTGGAATGGAGGGCACAGGCTTATATAATTATCAGCAGTAAAATAGGTTATGAAATAATAACATCCAAATTCTTTAAATTTTGATCAACTCGAAAGTGGTATACAGAATGGTTGCAAGACCTATGTGAAAATGACATTATTAAATTGTGATGGTCATGAAATTAGATTTACTAATGGCTATATGTCATTTTAATTATTCTTGTTCAGTTTTAGATGAAATGTAAGAAACACATGCTTCTACAGACGTAGTACGTAGGTCCCAGTGACAGTAATCCTCAGTATACATTATACAGGATCTGTTCTACATAATATCGTTACTTATTCTAATCATATATCTTATAAACACGAATGCCTGCATTCTATGACAATGTATTCAGTTCCTGCCACATATCTACAGTATTCAAAGCCAATGATGAATGTCATTAAATATAATCATAATATCAACAAAATAAATAATATTTTATCTGCGTCAAAGCTATACAGATCTACTATCTAACCAATTTTATGAGGGTTAGACATTTATGGTCAGTGCATGACCATCATATGATGCCCAGTGGTCAGAGATTCTGTATAATCGACCATCATATGATGCCCAGTGGTCAGAGATTCTGTAAAATCGACCATTATGTCCAGGGATTAACTGGTCCATTAAGTCTCTGTAATGAGGAAAATGTCCATCTCGTTGGTCAGTTATGTTTCCTCCATATTGCGGAGACTGTCCATCTCGTTGGTCAGTTATGTTTCCTCCATATGGCGGAGACTGTCCATCTCCTTGGAAATGACATTGGTGACCTGCATGCACTTATTGGCGAGAGTGCCGCCCATCCTCTTCAGAGCGATCTCCGCAGCTTCTCTCACAGACTTGATCGGGTCGTTCCTCCTGGGAAAAAAACCGAAAGTCCATATACACACTCCCCAATAATGATAGTAAACACAAATTAAAGTCATCCCAATATTATACTATTAATGATATAAAGACAAGATTACATTATGTCATAAATGTCTGCCATTAAGTTGTATGAGGATTATTCCAGACACAATGATTATACACATTGTATATGTAATTCAGAATGTACAAGGTTTGGCTGAAGATTTTGCAAAAGAGACAGAACTGCCATCAAAATAGTTGGAATGAAAAAATTTAGTACATGTGCACATATTCTGAGTGTGGTGGTTCTACATCAATGGAGATTCCAGAAATTCAGATGAAAACTGTTCACTAGGAGTTGTCTGGACGTGATGAGACGAAAATATTTTGTTAAAGGGACATAACTCCTACAACAAGAGCGCTGCCAGTGGCAGCATGATTCCCCCAGGAAAAACTCATCATGGATTTGAATTTGAGAAGAGCAGGGAAATCGCACACAAATTTGTACAATCCGTTTTACAATGATTTGATGTGGACCTGCTATTTATTCTCTGCAGATATTGAAACATCATCCATTAACATAAGTTACACTAATGACCAGTGGACTGTGGAGTATAATAATCAGCCAGGGCTATCCATACACCAAGTTTGAACTTTGTTTGACATGCACTACTTTTTATGTTATCATTCAGAGAAGTAAACTTCTATTTTTTGAAATAATGAATTGATCTCGAGCAGACTGCAAACAAAATCGATCACCGTTGTTCCATCCACTAGGCCAACCCACACACCAATTACCACTAGGCCAACCTACACACCAATTACCACTAGGCCAACC